GGTTTTCCATGTGTCTTACATTTCCCTTTAAAATAAGCATTTGCCTTCTGTTCTAGGAAAAAAAAACAATGTGTGAAACTAATTTAGGCTAATACATTAATTAAAATCTTTTGATTATTTCATTGCCTTCTCTTAATCAGTCACTCTGCACTGCTGAACAGTGCTTCAGGGTTAGTTTAGTCCCCATCTCTCCTACAAGTTTAAATTCACTCATTTAGAGTCTCAGTTTTTAAAGAACTTCATTTCCTCGTGCATAAAAAATGATAATTAAAATGATAATGTGAAATGTATTATGTATTAGGTCTATTATAGGCCAACTGCAGCACACTCACAGAGTAGAAAGGAAAATGTTGAAGCAAGAAATCACCCATTAGACACAGAAGTAGCAGACCATGGAGTGAACAGACACTAAATGTGAGTCAGCGAGTTCAAGTCTACCTTTATACATCTCTGTTTGCTACAAATTCCTGCTGTGGTCTTCCAAATGTAGGTAATGTCATTGTTCTGTACTGTTAACAGTTACTTATCGTGTCTAGTATACATTTATTAAAATGCTTCACATGCTATATGCAATACACAAGGCTGTATTTACATGTGAGTGTATGTTAGACTGTGGCGCTTTGTCTTAGGCACAATGTTACAATCTGTTGCTTTATATGAAAAACATCACAAAACCAACATGAAAGAGACATTTCACTTTACTTTTAACACTGACAATACGGCGGATCAAAAAGAGAGTGCTAAAGTGCTGTTATATTTATTGCACATTTCTCTATTGCACTAAGGTTTAATATTATATAGAGACTTCAACCACTTGATGGAGGCTGGGACACAAGATAGCTTCATTTTGCCACACAGAGTCTTCCTGATGGCAGAGGTTTGCATTCAGAGGAGAGGGATGCAGTGAGATTAATGAAATGGAATTGGTATTTGGCACAGAGATGTGCTAAATAAAAGACAGAAGATAAACTGTAATTCCTCTAAACATTACGCATTAATTAACAAACCTAATATGTAGCCAGAGAAGTAGTAGTAGTGGTTGTGGGAGATTCTCCTGAGCCACTAATTAATGAAGAACACAGAAATCATCAGCGTCCTGTGGTTGTGCTTCAGGTGTGTAAAGGGCGAAGGGGAGATAGAGAAACTGCAGGCCAAGGTGGTGGAGCTGAGGAGGAAGCTGGACGACACGACGGCAGCCATGCAGGAGCTCGGCAGAGAGAACCAGTCGCTCCAGGTCAGTCATAAAACAGCAGACGTCTTAAAGCTCAGACATGTCTGCCAGTGGTGTACAAACAATGGTCAGCAGTTTGTCTTAGGGAAGTTTTTTTTACATTATAGTGCAGATAAAGTTAGTTGTTCTGATTTTGGTGCTTGTAGATCAAGCAGTCGCAGTCTCTGACCAGAAAGTGGGCCGAGGATCACGAAGTACAGAACTGCATGGCCTGTGGGAAGGGCTTTTCTGTCACCATCAGGAAGGTAAGAATGACTTCTCTTAAGGTTTGAAACCTATAGAACAACAGAGCTCACATTTAATTGTCTAACTTTGTAACATGCGCCGTCTCTCTCCTCCTCCTCTGTGAATATCCAGCACCATTGCAGACATTGCGGAAACATTTTCTGCGCCGAGTGTTCATCGAGGAACGCTCTCACGCCGTCCTCTAAAAAGCCAGTACGGGTCTGCGAGACATGCTTCGAGGAGCTCCAAGGCTGATTACCCGCTCCCATTCCTTTCCCTCTCCCAAAACCAACCCCCTCTTTGCTTCCCTCTCCCTCCCCATTCCTTACTCCAGTGGGCAGAAGAAGGCGTGTCTTTGTCATATTTAAATGTGCACTATAAAGGACAGACCCAGTGCAAAGACTCCTACCTGCATGTGACTCCTGGCTCTGGTGTGGAGGGAAATAACTGGGAAAGGTTTTAATGAAGAGACACCAGAGTCATGTGAAGGGAATTTGGTGGGATTGGTTGGGATTGTCTGTATCTGTTTTTGTGCCTTTGCTGCTCCTGTGGACTGCCAGAGTGGAGACAGTGAGAACTAAACACCATCCATCTCTTTTAAGTTCATATTCACATTCTCCATTGTTGTTTGGCATCATTAGCAATTGCGAGGTGGTTGCTCTGTATGTTGTGATATGTTTGGCATCAGGAGGTGTAAGGTCACTGACTGGGGAAGTAAATATTGTAAAAGTGATGTTGAAAATCACTGCTGCCCTACAAAGGTAAATGCAAGTACCTATTTTGTCAAAGTGACATATTTTCAATCTGATCAGTAAGAAATTCAAGTTTAGATTTTTATAGCAAGAAAGTGAATCAGTAATTACAAAAATATTTTTAGATATTTTTTCAGTTTAACTGATGTATTCACTGTATTTAATGTGTGTAATGCAGATTTGTGAACACAAAGGTGTGTTGAAATTTATATTTTTTGAGGAACCTGCTTCAAATTTGCCTACAGGAACTCATTATTTGTGCTTAAACAGAATTACACGTCGTCGACAGTTCATTTGGCTCCAAAACAAGGCAACTAACGCAGCTGTAAAGTGGAGATTTTCCATTTAAAAAAATATGTATTATGTTTTGTAAATCCATGCTGGTAAAAGGCACTAGATCCTTTTTTGTTAAAATTGTGTTATCAGTATAATACAGAGAAAGGTACCCACAGTTTGAGATCATAGGGTCAAACGTCATTATATCCGTATTATAAATCTTCAACTGTAAACAATTCATCAGTGGATTTATGCACCAGCTTATCTGTACAGGTCTTGAGATCAACCATGACGTCAAATCAGTTACTGCAGTTTCCTTTGTGCGGCAGTGTGTTTGTGTATTTGTTGAAATTAATGTTTTTAGCCTAATTTCATGACCAAAGAATGTCTGCAGCAGGAATACAGCCGAGATGAAAACCCAGAGTTTGCTTCACATTTCAGTATTTTTCTAAGCGTCTCTTTGAAAGCTTTTCAGTTTTAAATGACAGGGTCCTACATTTTTATCTTGAACACCGCATGTATGATGACATGAGAGGCTTTTTTTAATGTACAGTCAGTTGTTATTTTGCTGTGCCACATTTCTCTTTGCATGTTGATTCCTGCAAATTTTGGTGCTTTCTGCAGACTGGTGATGCAGTCATTGAAGATGCCTGCATGTTTATTTTAATTTTTGTTTTTTCTCCTGCTGCTCATCTCCGCTCAACAGCACTGACTACTGCTGGAGCCGTGTGTGTCTGTGTGTGTCCGTGTGTGTGTGTGTGTATGCGCGCGCATTTGAAGCAATAAATGTGGCAGTGTGTGACGTTGCTGTAACAGAGTGTGTGTTTTAGTGTTTTTAGGCCTGCTGTTTGTCTGCTGAGACGCACTGTACGACTGTCGGCTGCTCAGAACCTCAGTATCTCTCTGGCACGTTGTTCGGGGATGTCGGTGCTGCTTTCAGGTGGCGGCAGTTACCTTCGGTTATCTGTTCTACCCATTTGCAGCTGAGGACACTGTAAAAGTTAATTCCTGCTTTGTATAATTTATAATTGTTGACAGACATTGGTAAGATCTTTTTGTGCAATTGTCTAAAGACTGGAGCAGGCGGAAACACTGTAAGCCAGGCGACAATGCAGGCTGTTCTGGCATTTTGCAAACAAGCAGCTTGTTTCAGACGTTGGCTTACCAAATTAGCTCTTTCTGCTTGTATGAAAAGAAAAAAAAGAGCATCCATCTCAGTTGCAAGCTCCCAAGAACACCTGTCTCTTTTTGTGTTGCATTGGTTTTGTTATGTCTACCTCAGATTGGCACAGGAAAAGCACTATTTCTAAACCATAGAGATCACAAGTATTGTGTCATTGCCTGCATTTGATCAAGGATTTGTGACTTATCTATCAAGCTGTACAGTCCCTTACAACCTAGAGAGATGATTTGCACCTTATTCTATTCTGGGCTCGTACGTATGAGAACCCAGCCACAGACATAGGACCATCAACTTTATACAGGCTTCAGCATTTCTAGCCCTGATGTACTTAACTGCTCATTAATACTAAGGCTGTCATAATTATCTTTGTAAATGTTTGTAATGAAAGAGAGAAAAAGGAAATGTATAACACTTGTGGAAGTAGAAACATGACAAGAGTGAAAATGTGTGGACTCAGTGTCTTACTCATTTTTACAAAATGGCACCACAGACCTGTGCACACTGAATTGTGGCTTGCTTCGTGTTGCTGTTAGTTATCATGCATGATGACCTAACTGGCCTGTGGCTCACACGTTTTCTCCATGTTTAGAGTCATCATATTTGATGGTCGTGAAGGTGTGCCTTAGGCCAATGTCTCGTCGGACACTGCTCACCGTTAGTGGTGACATGCACCATGTATTTACCACAGTTGGGGGTGACCTCCGTTCACCTGAAGGGATGAAAGAAATAATGTAGTTTTTGTTCACATGCACCAGTTGATTTTCTAATTCATCATCATGACAAAACCTAAATAAAACCTACAGTATGTTTCTATTTTCTCATGTGTGTTGCTTTTGTTTTTTACAGGTGCTGAAAGTTCGTTAATTTGCTCTTTTTAAAAAAAAAAAAAGATTTTTAAATAATCAATATTTGATAAATACAGCTAACCAATTCATTAGCATGCTTTATTCCCTCTGGAGTAAAAAATATGGTTTTAATTGTGAGTTTGTCCACCCAGCAAGGCCTTTAATTTAAAGTTTAAAGTTCATTTGTTGTTGACCCTTAGAAACAGAAAGGTGGCAAATCAACCTTTTTCCATTCGAGCTTGGTCAGAAGATGGAGTTTGCCCAGTTGTTACAGAATTACAGGTGTTCATACTTAATCTTTAAGCCAACATGAACGATTAGTGCTTTAAAGTGGAGACAACTGAGCAAACTCAATTTGCTGACGAAGAGCATGTGAGCATCAGACTAAATGGAGCTGGTTAAGTCCTTGAATGTGATTTAGTGTGCATGGAAAAGGCAGAAAAAGAAGCTTTAAAAAGTAGATAAAAGGAAAAACACTCTAGCACGACTTTTACTACATAGCTAGGTATTTATTATACACTACTGCAGCAGCTGCCTTTAAAGGCCAACATTTAGTTTACAAAACGATCCTAATGCCAGCACAGTCCTTTACAAGAGACAGTGAAGTGCACGTTGACAGCAGAGACGTTTCAGATGGCTTCAACTGCTGTTTGATGGGTCATATCTGTGAAGACTCCAGCCACAGTGAGGAGCTCTTGACTCGCTGCTGCTGAGAGTCCAGCTTCAGCAGCGCCGTCACAGCGCCCTCTATCTTTGTCATCCACACTCTCTGGAAAGTCACATGAGGAGAAATATCAAGTTCACTTTTCAGCAATTGGCAGATTTTTTTTGGAGGGTTTGCTCAGATGGCATTGAGTTTCTTATTTGTATAACTCTTTATTTGTGAGGTTTGTTGCTGAGTCATCATTCATTTTGTGCTACATCATAGGTCTCATACCTGTAAGATAACCTCTAGCCAGTGACTCAAACAGTTTCCCTACATTTAAAGGACAATGCTGAAAGATAAGAATTGATGATGGTATTGCTATTAATAAAATCTTATCAAATTCCCATCCCTAATTCCTAACTGCACTGCAACTTATAAAGTGTAAGACTTAACTTGTAGATAAAGCGCGTATATATTTTATTAACAAAGTCCATTTTCATAAAGTAAACCCCTGGCACACTTCCAATAATATTCTGTATCAGTACGTAACCACAAGCATAAGAAGTAAATCTATTTTACTGCGTAATTGACGAGTGAAACTCCGCCTTGAGCAAAACATTTAAAAGAACTCTTTGTGGTTCTGTGTTCCCAGTGAAATCTTGTGCTACACAGAAAGCAGAAATGTTTGTACATAATTAACAAATCCACACATGATGTTGCACATCTGTACGGTATGTACTATATAATAGTTGCGTAAACAGAATATAACCAGTGCTCTGCCAGCTTTTAGAAGACTGTATGCCTTATGAAACCGAGAAATTCATAATCAAAGTGAATGTACCTTTGCAGACTCTGACGCAGCTTGCAGGATGAATGCGCCGATGCATTGTTGGTAGCGGTTCTGGTGCATGATTATGAAAGAATGAGGCAGCCCTGATGCTACAAAGGAAACACAGAATTACAGTTCTTCCATTAACATCAAAACTGTAACAATACAGAGAGAGGTTTATCAAGACCCAGCATGAGGCATTGATTCTGCTGTGTGATCTCGACATACCCACTCATATATGCTAAATAATCCAATAACTAAAATAATTCATGTAAAGGTTGTCTAAAGAATGTCTAAAATTGTGTTATTACTTGAGGCATTGATCTGATCGATGTTCTTGAGCTGGAGTCGGTCCAGAGAGACGGGCTGGTCCAGAACCGTGAACGTGCATCCCTCCTTCAGCAGCTGATCCAGCTCCAGGTTTTGCGGCATCCTCAGAGGATTCTGCTCTGGGCCGATGGACCGCTACGCAGAAGGAAAAGAAACAACAAGCTATGACGCCTCCGTACAGCGTGGCAACTCAATACCACGGTTCAGATCAGGCTGAGAACAGAGTGACATACCTTCTTGATTCTCTTTATCTTGGTGATCAGCAGGAATTCGTCAAACAGGAACAGATAAACATCTATCAGCTTTGCATTCTCTAGTAATGAACCAAAGAAAGATGGTAAGACTTGAACTCAAATCGAAACACTCAGCATGAACAATGTGTCAGAGTTACTCCACACCTGTGAGCACCAGTTTCCCATCGTGCAGCAGACTTCTGTGAGAAATGAGATTCTCCAGAGTGACGGCCTTTAAGAGATGTTTCAGATTCTGAAAGACAATGAGTCAGACAGGTTAGAAGGAAACATGTTCATCCTTTGACAATGTAAACTGATCTGACTTTGTGATACCAAAGCAACAGCCAATGACACACTGCGCAGTAAAATGTGAATACTTTAAAATAGTTTCCTTTACTTTTCATGATATCTGATTGCACATCCAGATAAATGATTGGATCATCTTATCTGCACACAAAAGGTATTGGAGGATGAAGTCCTGGTGCATATCTGACTTTTACGCTCTGGTCTATTAAAGCTCTCACAGACACAAACAAACATATTAATATGTACACACACACAAAAGCAGACAGACCTCAGGGACAAAAGCGCGCTTGTCTCTCTCCCATACAGGCAGCCACACCAGGGCGTCTCTCAACTGCTTCACCTTCTGGTAGTTATCCAGCCATTTCACCTTTCCCTCTAGATCACCTGGAAATCAAGCGGGACAAAGACAGTTTTAGGATTAAATGATTAATTACTTTGAGGAAAATGCTTTAGTCACATTAATAACACCTTTTAAAATTGAAATAACAACATGGCTAAATAAAGCACAACTTTATTATCTTGCTGTGTCTTTATGTATAGTGATGGTTGCCTTCCAAACACAGGCGTGACAGATTACAGCACACTATTACAGTAAATATGTCCCCACGCCCAGAGGACATTGCCTTACACACGTCACCTCGTCACCTGTGCCGCTCTGCCACACCTGTTTAACGGTTATGCGTGTAATCATGTCATTAAAACATCTGTGAGTCCGCGCTGTTTGCTTTTGGATGACTATTTGTTCAAGACAACAAAATGACATTGAGGTGCAGCGCTGCAGCACATTTCCCACAGTCTGTCCTTCTGGTTACAAAGTAAACCGCCACAACAGGTCTAAAGGCACAGGCATGCTGTGAGGAATGAATGGTCAGGGCTCCTGGCTGCCATCCAACACGTAGGCTTACTGCTCTAAAAAGACACAAACTAGTCTTGTTTGTGTTTTGATGGAGATAACTTCACTTACATCTGCTTAACGTGCTTCTTGTGTCTTAGTGTGTCTGTAAACATTCAGTCATAATCAGCTCAGTGACACTTGAAGCTCTGCATGCCTTTTGCAGCTGAAAAGATGTGTGGGAGGAGTTTAAAGGTCCAGTGTGTAACATTTAGGAGGCTCTATTGGCAGAACTGGGATATAATATTCATAGGTATGATTTCATTAGTGTGCTGAATACAGGAATTGATTTTTTTGTTACCTTAGAATGAGACGTTTTATCTACAGACGCCGCAATGTTGAACCATGTTTCTATAGTAGCCCAGAACGGACAAACTGAACACTGGCTCTAGATAGGGCCGTTTGCATTCTTAATTCACTTTCAATTCAAGGCGAGCAGTATTCA